ATAATAAAACCGCAGCATCAAGCCAAAAATGCAAGACATTTTTTTTTTTGACTATTAAAAATTGATTCTGGTCGGCTGTTGGAGGTCGTCGATAAATGATGTCATACGCCTAGGGAGGGGAGGGGGTTCAGACTTTTGTGACGAGGAGGGGGGGGGGGGGGTAGAGACAGTGTGACGTCACTTTGTCTTAATTCCACGAATTGATTAACATGCATTTTTTTTAGTTTTTAGAAAAATAAACATACTCAATACTAAATATTTTTTTACATTGGTAGCGATACTTCTAAGTTGTCAAAAGATTGTGAAATATGAATTTGTTCTAATTAAATTGCCCTATAATTTGACGATGTGTGTTGTGTAATAGACTGCCGTATATGCAAATTTGTCAATACTGCTATACGAATAAAGGTCGGAAGCATATCAACTATCAACTAGTGAGGGTAAGGCATGGGTATCAGTGTAATGCGTGCTATTCTTTGAAGTTTACAGAGTAGGGCAGTCATAATAAAACTTTAAACCCCGTTTTCCGAATAATTTATTTAAAAACTTATCTTCACACTTAGGGCTGCGACTCTTGCCCTTGATGACACGCCTTGTCTTCCTTAAATCATGGTGTTCATGCCGATAGTGCATGCTTGTTGAACGATCTAGAGAAAAAATAACTAGTACAATCAGTTCCAAGGTCGAGATCACGTGATTTTTGTAGATGCAGCCAAAATAAAAAGCGGATGTGTGTAGGGTCAGCTTTTGATGCGTGTTTATTCGATCAACTCAAATAGGCCTACACGTGTCTTGCTGAATCAACTTTGTCTGTGTGAGGCTTTTCAATTGAAAGGTAGATCTAATAATCTCATATATACTGCTTAAAAATCGACAGTTAATAATGGATAAAAATAAAATTTTCCAATGTATTTTTGATGCCTACGTGCTGGCATATCCTAAAAAGAGTAAAAAGATTTGCCAAGAAGAAGTCGTTGAAAAGTGGACTCAACTAAAAAGCGATTCAGATCTGCACTTGAAAGCGGAGGTCTGGCTGCAGGAGCTAAAAGCAATTGCTGCCGCTAAAAAAGGCTCACTTTTGACGTTTTGGGCCAAACAAACATCTGTATCTACATCTACAAATAAGAAAACACCGTATGATTTGGCAAAAGAAATACCTAATACTAATAAGTCACTAAAGTCAGATGAAAAAGTGAACGATGCTCATGAAGTCAGTGATTTAAAACCCTCTACCAGCAAACTATCAACATCTAAGCAGGCTAGAGTCCAGATAAACTTACAATCAGAGATTGAGATTATGAATTCTGATCTAGTCGGCTTGTATTAGCGACAAACTCGCGGAATGTTAACGCAAGAACAGAACATGGAGATTAAAGAAACGAAACAGAGAAAGAGCGATTTGGAAAAAAAAGCTAAAGAGGAAGATATCTGATCAAATAAGATCTCAGAAAGCTCGAAATGAAAAGAAAAGAAAACTGAATGCTTTGTTTGAAGAGAATCCGGGGCTACGCGCCACTTTGAATGTTAGATCTAACTATGGCAGGCCAAGGATTGAAGAAGATCAATCTTCTTTATTGGAAACTATCATAAACATTGCTATGCATGGATCAGCATCACACGAGAGAAGGCAGCACGAAGTCTACAGGACTATTAAAACATTAGATCAGCTAGCTGATCAGTTAAAACAGGATGGGTTTATAATTAGTAGAAGTGGGCTGTACCTTCGACTGTTGCCAAGACGTACTTATTCTCATGAAGGGCAACGACATGTATCGACAGTCCCAGTAAAACTGATAAGAGCGCAAAACGATTGCCATGCAAATCACACTGATCGCTTGTTTACAGCGGCAACACTGCATCACCTAGAAGAGTTAGCTTCCATGCTTGGACCGAATGAGGTATGCTTTATAAGTCAAAATGACAAGGCCCGCGTTCCCCTTGGGTTGACAGCAGCTAAAAAACGGAGTCCATTGCTCATGCACATGGAATACAGGGTGAGCTTGCCTGACCATGACTGGGTTTTGGCTGCTGGACATAAGCTGATCCCTTCAGTTTATGCAGGGATAAAAATTAAGCCCAACGCCTTGGGAAATCGAGAAGCTGTTGGATACTCCGGCCCAACATACATATCAATCAGCTCTAGTAAACATTCCTCATCCACAGCGCTTAGTCATGGACTTGATTTTGAAAAATTACTTACATTACATGAATTTGATGATATCACAAAGAGCGGTGTGGATCAAATCGTTAAACCAATATTAGTGTTGACGGTTGATGGTGGCCCAGACGAAAATCCTAGGTATCAAAAGTTGATCAAAGTTGCGGTACACCACTTTCTCAATCAAAACTATTATGGTTTGTTCATTGCTACAAATGCACCCGGAAGAAGTGCATTTAATAGGGTTGAAAGAAAAATGGCGCCACTTAGCAATGAGCTCACAGGATTAGTTTTACCCGATGACCACTACGGCAGTCATTTAGATGAAAGAGGAGTCACAATAGACACAGATTTAGAGAAGAAGAATTTTCAGTTTGCCGGAAACACTTTGGCAGAAATATGGTCACACTTGACAGTGGATACATTTCCTACAGTGGCAGCATACATAGATCCAGAAGAGTCTGAACTCCTTGAAACTTCTCTGCTCTCAAAATACTTCGGTTAATGATCTTGCTAAGATTTAGAAATATGAATGTATATAGATATCGTCGGTTAAGTATAACTTGTTACTGATATTATTATTTAATCGTTATTAATAAAATTTCTATAAAACTTGCTTAAATTTAAGTCAGTGTGAAAGTATTTCTTGTCCTATTTCAATATCCTCTTCGCAAACAGCAAAACACGCAATTTAATAATCTAGTGAAAAGTCTTTACTATTAAAAATCAATTACATTTATATTGCTTTGTGAGAGATGACATCCGTTAAGTCCATCATATAGGAATATAGGCTACAATGAAATATACTAGGAAAATTAAAGGTCTGGGCATACTGCTAACATTTAAATAATTTGCATATTATACTCAATATATTGTTATTCTCACGTGTGTCGTCATGTCTGCAAGAAATACATACATTTACATTAAGTATTTTTTTTAAAATTAATCCTATCAGCTTTAACATCACCTCACTGTATTACTGTTTACCTGCTGGTGCCACGAATGGGTCCTGCGCGCTCATTTTTAATGCTGTGTCAAGGAGCGGTAATTTTAAAGGGATGAAAACACAGCAAATTTAAAACATAGGATAAATTGTAAATTAGGGGGGGGGGGGGGTGGAGTGTGACGTCATTAAAGGGGGGGTCTGAATTTTTGTGACGATGTGTGACGTAGGGGGGGGGGGGGGAAGGGGGTAAACAAATGGCCAAAAAAGCGTGACGTCATTTATGGACGACCCCTAGGCCCCTAACCGTCCCCCCCCCCGCATTGCGGGGTCTAGCGGCACTGTAGTTCCGCCCCTGAACTATACACACATAAGAAAACAACATTTGAAAACATCTCATACCTTTCTAAACAGGCGTACTGTTGTAAACTTGTTCGGGTTATAGTGCTGCTTGTCGGGATCCAATGGAAGGCGCTGTGTTATAATAGACACGTCACTTTGTATTATGTTGGTATGTGTGATCAGAGCACTCAACACTTGCAGTTCTGACAAAAAACGCCTCCTTGGAGTAATTTACTCACTTGTCGTGTTTTATTAGCGATGTCAATCAAAAATTTTAACGATCGTCGTTAACAGAAAATTGGTGGCCTCCTGTTCAGCCCATTGATCGTATTAATTGAAAACATAAAAAGAATTAATTAATTCATTAAAAATTAATTAGGCATCCAATTAAGTCACATTTATTGTCAGACTGCATGTTATTCATGTCTTGACCCACGTGCCAACTTTGAAACGAATCTGTCTGTTAGAACTGCCGGCTATTTCGCTCGAGCTTTTCGATCCATGACGACAGATAGACAGGATGAGGAAGCAAGTTAAATAAAAGCTTGTAATAAAATCTTGTTATTAAAGCTTTTTATTAATTAAAAAAATAGAATAGAATCTCGTAGAATAAAGAATTGCGCAGCAAATGAACAGTAAATAATCTGTGTATAATTGTGCAAAAGATGAGTACTTTATAAACTATAAAGAAAGACAGATAAATCAAGTTAAAAATAAATTCATATGCGGTTTTTGAGAAATCAGAAATAGCGCAGAGTACTACTTCCGGTCACTAGAAATCACTCAAAACTTGTCAGGAAACAGAGAATTCGATTTTCTACATCTCTAGATTTAAGAGAAATTTCTTCTATCAAACTGAAAAGTACTTAAGTTATAGACGTTTGAAAAACCGAAAGAAGAATATATTCACTTCCGTATACTGGAAATCGCTGAAAAGTTAATACTTAATACAGAATTATAATTTTGATATAACAAACTTCGTCAATTTAGCTGAATGGTACTCAAGTTATCGTGTTTACAGATAGACACACAGACCCTTCCCAGCGCCCGGGGACAAATTTTCAATTTGGCTCTCCCCCTCCCCCCCCCCCCTCGGGAGCAAAGTTTCAATTTGCACCCCTTCCCCTTCAAACTTTTGATTTGCACATCCCTCCTCAAACTATTTATAATGCAAAAATGCAGCTAAAATGACATTGTAATTTGTTTTTCCAACCCATTTTGGCGCCCCCTAAGATCGGCGCCCGGGGACATATGTACCCCCCCCCCTCGCTACGTCTCTGACACAAACAGCCCACACAGTCCAGTTTTTCCGACTTGATGACGCGTAAAACGCCTTTATTTTGATAAATCTGGATTTGGAATTTTTGCCCGATTAAAGTCCTCTATACTTCACCTTTGAAGTACTGAGGTGGAAAACTGTGAAAACTGTCAAAATTTCATGTGGTATTTGAACGGTAAACGGAAAAAAAGTCACAGGAAAAAAAAAACACAGAAAAAAGTCACAGTTTTTGCTAGGAAAAAAAGTCACAGAAAAAAAGTCACAGTGGATAAATTTTATCGAAAAAAAAGTCACAGAAATAAAGTCACAGAAAAAAAGTCACAATATTAGAAATATTTTTATTAATTTGATAAAAATTGTAAAATTTTGTATGTTTATTGTTGTGGGTTGTAATTTTTGATAGCATAAATTATTTATAGACGTTAAAAGCATTATGATTTATAACAATTGTAAGTAAACAATACTCTAAGATAATGAACACAACAATCTCAACATTTGTTACATATTTAGTTAAATACGCGGTAGAAAAGTTAATTATAAAAGAAAATTAGGCACATTTTGCCGTAGGCTATACTCTAGACGGCCTCTCCTCAGTAGGCATTGTCCGAACATATTGTGTGTTGACGTTATACGTCATCGACAGCCTTTGAACCTTGTCGGCTTTCTGTTTTGAACCTAAGTTTTGTTATGTAATGAGCGTGATAAATGTGGGAAGTAAAGGTGGTTGAACTAAACATAACTATTGTTGCCATGAGTTGAGGGCAGCAAGTCAGATGAACTTACCATTTCACGGTAATTTAATATTGGTATTTAAAAAAAAAACACGATGAAAAACGTGGAGCATTCTATTAAATGTTACTAATCTAAGTTTAAAATAATTATAATCTACATAGGGCCTACTTCATAATAAATATTTTTAGATGAATTATAAAAATTCCTATGCGTAAACAGCCTACACACATTACATTACATTTAATTAATCCTAAGTTAATTTGCACTCTCTAAATATTTAATACATAAAACTTTTATGATAAAAGTGTTAACAAATATCATGCAAATATATATTTGTGACTTTTTTTCCTGTGACTTTTTTTCCTGTGACTTTTTTTCTGTGTTTTTTTTTCCTGTGTTTTTTTTTCCTGTGACTTTTTTTTCCTACAATCATTTGAACACGGTTACAATAGGCCTACTTGCTCCTTACTCTGTATGCGAGAAAATAAAAATTATGTAAAAATTAACAAATACCGTACAAATTAAGCCCCTTGGATATAGTATAATTTTAAGAAAGTTGTTAGGCCTAAAGTAAAAAGTTTAGATAAATGTTAAAAACAAAATGGAAACGTGCTATGAGAAATGCGTATAATCTAGAATAATCTAGATTCTAGTTCTAGATTTACTTGTAAACATAGAATCTCGATTGTTCGAAATCTAGATCTACGTTCTAAAAATTTAGACTTTTAATCAAAACAATACAAGTATGACTTCGGTAATTAGATCTAATAATGGTAAACAGGCTCGCAAAAGAGTAAGACCAAGCACTACTTCTGAAGTGGATAACAAAACATTTGATGTTGACGGCTCAACACCAGCTAAACACAATAGACTTGTCAAATTGACAGAGTCAAAGATGCAAGAAAAAATAGTGTATGGTAAGAAAAGAAACCAACCAGTATTTTGGTAAAAATTAAACAGGTTTTCATACTAGTGTAAGACAGTGTAAGTGTAAGTGTTGTTCACCTCCAGTTTTTATTTTATTATAAACACAACCGAAACACACAAAAACGTTAGGAAATTAAGGAAAACACTAGGACTAGACTTGACTAGAGCTAAATCTAGGCCTACTTATTTTTTTAATTAGAAAAGGTAAAACAAAAAAGCATTAGAACAGTTCCAATCAAATATCGTTAATCATAAGATTGTCAGCGTGAAAAAAATCCTTACATTAGGCATTCCGACTTCCGCTGTTTCGATTCGGTATTCAACATCCGGACTTTTTGATGCAGTCTTTATAAAAACTCGCCCTTTTCCGAAAAATGCCGAATCTCACTGTTGGAATCGAGTTTTTAGAAATATTCGATATAGATATTCTAGTGTAGTCGTATTATATGTTTCAATTAGAAAATTACCGCCATTATGACAATCTTTAAGCCGAAATCGATCGCACGATTCTAATGAATTTATCTCGCGAACATGTCCCGTACGGTGCTGTCACATTTTAAATAAGTTTACGTATTAAACACATTATAAGTGTCTTGCCATTAGTTTTAAGTGTCCATTAAATAAACAAATATTATTATAATAACGGTTTTATGGCATTTACTACTTCTGCTTACGAGTTATCATACATGTCAAATCCCCGAGCAAGCGCTTCGGCCTTGACAACGCCATGGCGTCTGTTTAGCACCGCATTACCTATTATCGATAAAATATGCGCACTAATGCCAATGGCGTAGTTTTCGAAGTTGGAAAGAATTTAAATTGTGGGTGGCATTGTTAAAACTAGATAAAATACATTGATCAAGTTATCTATTAAAAATGACAGGCAAGAAGCTTAGGCTTACATTAACTAATGTCAAGCATTTCACACATATCTACTTACTTAGATTTAAGGCTAATACTAATAGCCTTTAATATACTATTATACTTTATACTATAAATAAGTTGTAGGCCTATTTCTTAGTATAACTAATGCTATATACTATATATGTATCGATTGATAAAGTAATTCTGGGCCTATTATTGGTTATGATAAGTAAAGAAGCTTGGTGATAAACTTATTTAATTATTTGTAATAATTATGCTTATGACATTAGTAAATAATAAACAAAAGGTGCAGCAATTGACATGGGGGGGGGGGTACTAATTAATAAGGCAGTGAATTTAGAATGACATGAAAAAGGCATGATAATTATCATTCATAATAATTTAGGATACAATTTTTACATTTAATAATAAAAAGTAACAAAAAACAAATAACAACAAACAATATGGATTTAAATCACTGCATGTTGCCAATATATATATTCATATAAGCAGATAGACAGGGAAGCTGTAACTTCTGATTTGGTACAACCTAACACTTAGCTTAATAAACTTTTACAAGAATTTAAGGTTTTTCTATTGATTAGTAATTTAGTTGTACCAAAATATCAATAGGGCCTTATAAAGGCCATAGTATATTAAAGTAGTTTCCCTTTTGGACCTGTCAATCCATCATCCATAAAGCAGCTGAAGTAGAGTTTATCTGTTTCTTGACCACTGCACATGAAGTGATGGTGTGGTTAGCTCTCTGCCAAGCTACCTTTACTTTCCCTTACATTACATCGGTCAGGTACTCATCCGAGCTTGGTGGATGCTGCACGCTACACAGACAGACTCGTCTGAGATCTGAGCTTAAGACTTGCATGTTAGTAGTTGAGTGCTTTATCACACCATCCCTAGTTTTATTTTTCAGCATTCTTCTTATTACATGCTTCAGTATCAATAACCAAAATGTATCCTATCTATTATAGTAACATTCTGGACATACGTCCGTTGCAGTCACTATAATTACTATAAAAGGGTGCAACACCCTTTCATAGGACTTTTTAATTATATGCAGTCATACTTAATATAATTTTTTTCTATATTTCTATTGCCCCCACCCTCTAGCAAAGTTTCAATTTTAATATTTAAAAAAAAAAAACATAGACTTTCAGTCTGCATATTGGCCTATATAGAACAGCACCCCTCACTTTAATTTGACTTAATTAGTTCTAATTATCCTTCATCAAATTTTGATTTTACTTTCATATTTCTATTGCCCACACTCTCTAGCACTAATGTGCAAAGTTTTATAATTATATCTCAAATAGCAGCAGTGGTATGCAAGCCTAAAGCCAATCACACAATTAAATCCGATTGTTACAGTGATATATAACAAGTTTAATACATAACTTTAAAAATTCATATAAAAAAACTATTAGGCCTAGAATGATAAATTTGGTATCTTTATCAATGGGGTATATTATAGGATTAATCTGTGTACATTTTATCATTCTATGTTAATTAGGAAAAATATCCCAACATTCCTACCTTACATGGTCGTGGGTTCACCGTGAGTTCACATTAACTTTAATTATCAGCATACGTCATAGTTCGGGCAATAGCTGTTTGAAATTGTGTTGGCCTCAGTTTTGGGGTCATTGTAAGTTCATAAATGTTTTTTATGGTATCATGCCTGGGAGATACTTGTAACAATACAAACTTAACCGCCTTGCAATTGTGAGGTATGTTTTCGTACTTCACCCATTGCCGTGAAAATGCTAACTGACACACGAACAAAGCACATTCAATATTCTAAATTTGGATTTTTCTCAAGTTTTGACATAAGTAAATTATCAAATTCTAAAATGAAGTCAGTCTCTTTGTTTTTTTATTCATTTTTATTCATTTGTTAAAACAAAAATACAATACAAATAAATGAATCGTGTTTTCCTAATGTTGTGGTGTGCTTCGGTTATTATAATAATAAAATAAGCTCAACTGGAGGTAAACGAGAAGCGGAGAATAAAATACTCTAAAATGGAGTTTTACTGTGTAGGTTGTAGCATACAAAATGAATTTTTGAGTAAGCCTATTTTATCTTAAAATCATATGAGTTAGTTAGAGGAAGGATTAAGAATTCCATTGGTACCAAAATTATATTTCTAGCTTTAATAGGAGAGGAGAAATATATTTTTTTTCTTTTTGTATGGTCTTACATAATCTCTGTAAAAAATGAAACAAGTGGGAAACAAAAATGAAAATTTCACAAAATATGTTAGCAAATAATTGAATTCTAATGATAAATTATGAAACGGGTGGTTCCTTTATGTAAATTTGCATTAATAATTGTGAAGGCTTGTTTCTGTTTGATGTTATGCTTATATTGTTAGTATTGCTGCTACCCGGGAGGCGTGGCTGGTTGCTTACAACAATATGGCGTACGGACCAGATGCATGACTTCCGACGATTTTTCGTCTTAGTTCCAGAGACCTTCTTAGAATTACTTTTAAAAATGTTTACCACGAGCAAAATGGCGGGTTTCACATTATATAAACATGCTATAGTTGGCCAGGGCTAGATATGCCAGAAAAGCATTTTAAAATTTGCTTTGGAGAATGGAGGCTAAATTTTAAAGTCGGTCTCATTAAAATTAATAAAACTTTTAAAATAGCCTGGAGGGTACAAAAATGATTTGAAGGTTGTAGAACTATTAATAAATCAAATATCGCAAGCACTTTTAAAAATAAGACACGACTTTTGAATGACAACCAATTTTTTTTTTTTTTTTTAAACCACGTGACCGCTATTTGGTCATTACTAGTGAGGAACTCTGGGTGCATGGCCACTTAAAAAGTCTAACTGGATTTGTTGTTTTGTTTAGCTTCAAACGTAAGAAGTGTTGTCATGGAGAGGTGTGGTGTGCATGGTAGTGAGTGAGAGTGACAATAAATATTAAATTAAGTAAATTTAGTTTAAATATTTTTTTATGCTTATTATTGTGAGTATCATAATTTTTATTTACCAGCTGAGATATTTTTGTATTTTTACTAGACATAAATGTTGAACACTTTGTTGAGAGTCGAGCCACTGAGATCCAAGCGCTCACACAGGCAGTGAAAGATGTTGGAGGCAACCATTTGGCTTTTCAGAAGCTACCCCGCCACATGAGGAGAAGGGCAATGAGTCATAATATCAAAAGAGTTCCCAAGAGACTTCACAGCATTGTCAAGCTAGAAGTGAGTAGTTATTGCATACCTCTCTTACCCTACCCATACATCGCTGATATATTCAAATGACCGTTTAGTTGAGACTTAGAATTGTTGATGATTTATGCAAAACACTTTTTCTAAAAACAAATTTAATACAGTGTTGGTTTACATGAGTTTTTACTTCCTTTTTTTATTTAGTTGGAAAAAACTAAAGCTCCAGGAAAACGCCCAAGTCGTAAATTCAGACGGCGTCCAAGTAATCTTCTCTCAGAGTATGAAAGAAGGAAGCGTAGGATTGGCTGGCTTGAAACGCACATTTGGCATGCAAAAAGATTTAAGATGGTTGAAAAATGGGGCTGTAAACTGGCAGTTCACCCTAATGACAAAAGTGTCCGTGCTTGCTACAGAGCTGTCAACAATCATTGTCTAATGCAGGTCAGCTCAATGTTATAATTGTAAAAGTGGTCTGCTTTTTTTTTTTTTGTTAGTCCAACTGTATATTTGTTTCAGCTGTCAAGTGTGAACATATTGAAAATATCTGATTTTGCAACTTGGTTGGATCATAATTATTGAAATGTTTGAATTATTTCTGTTATTTTTCTAAATAATAATTATGCTGTTGCCATTCACTGTGAAGTTAATTATATGTAATATAAGGCTTTAGTAAGGTTTTTTCTAACATATTTTCAATAGTTTAAATTTTTTAATCTACAAATATCCAACTGTAAGTAAATCAAGCATATTTATTAGTTACCAAAGTCAGGTATTTTTTTTTGGAAAGTAGTCAAAAGGGGGCATCTGCAAAGACTAGCTCAAAAATTAGGTAATGTGTCTATTTTAAGGGGTTTATTAATTTTTCATGTGTAATTATTTTTATAGTAATTCTGTACAATAAACACCATTTTTTACATCCTTTTGCGAAAAAACAAGCTAAGAACTATTTAATATTTAAAAAAATAAGTAAAGATACCTCTTTAGACCTAACAATACATTGGGCATATGAAGTGGAGTTCATATTTTTCTTGAACCCTGAATATAAAGGGATAATGTGAACTGCGCTATGCCAGCCGCCTTTACTTTCCCTAACAATAACATGAGATAGGTACCCATCAGAGTTGGGTGGACTCAAGGATGTTCCACTAACGTGAACCCGGATTCGAACTCAGTCAAGCGCTCCACCACTAGGCTACTCCGTCTCATTTAATATTTACTAATTATTAAATCCATTTCTGAAAGAAATTCATTTAGAATAAATATTAGCTTTGGATGTTAAATTTGAAAGTTAAAAAAAGAGTGTCACTTTTTCTTTATTAACATTTATTATTTCATGCATGTCAGGTGTCCAGCTGTTTTATCTGTTTCAGATTTTATATCTGTTTATTGCATATCAGGATCCAACCAGTATCTGTTTCAATTTATAATTTATTAACATTTTTCTCTAGGACGTGTCATTTGAAAAATACATTGAAATCACAGGATTAAGGGAGAAAATTCTTACTGCTCTTTCCCATTTGTGTAGTGAAAAAACAGGTCGGTATTGGTTGTCATAACTTTAACAGTGATTAGATTTAATCTTTTTTTTAAATGTAGGAATTAATTACTTGTTTTGTTTAAATACAATTGATATAAAAATTTAGCAGCTATTCTATTTTCTATTGCTTTAATTTGATCAGAAAGTAAATTTAATTGATCACCAAATTGACATCTTAGTTCAGTATTTCTTTTTTGTGTAACTACATAGATCCAATACTTAAAATAAAATAATAGAATTATTTAATGGTAACGGAGTTGTCTGACCAGTGTTTTGAATCTTTTAGTCGAAAATCAGAATTTAAATTTCCTTAAAAAAATACAGTTTTTATCAGTTTTTTTACTGCACGTTTATTATTCATTTCTAGGACCAACCTTTGCATCAAAATTGACATCGTTGGGTACCCGCCATGCCTCTTTGGTCTTGTATAAGCATGACATGTACCCCTATGGTGCCATTGGACCAGTCAGCTACTTCTGGAGGCCAGCACTCCCACCCCACACAACTCAATCAACCATCTGGGTTGGCTGCCATCTCTCTATTTTCTCTCAAGTTTTTGATGAGATCACAAAATGTTTTGACCTGGGATCCTCCGAAGTAATGGCAGAGGGAAGCTCAGATGTTGTTGTTAGACCTTTAAATAATGAGCTGGTCAAACTCCGACTTTTTGGACCAGCTTCCAATGTTGTGTTGAGTGAAACTTTACAGTTATCTCCCATGATCAGCCAGTGCACAGACAGTCCAGCCCAAGGTAACGTTGACTTCTGGTGGAAGAGTTACTACTCGTCCTCCCTTCAACAAGAATCCTTCAAGCAGCAAGCAGATGTATGGAGGGACCTTCAGTGTAGCACGCCAGGCCAGGTGCCAGCCAACAGCATTCTGGGCCTGACTGTCAGGGACCCCAGGCTGTTGTTGCCCCCAAAGCGCAGCAAGGTCACACTAATCAACAGTGGTGAGTTGTTTTTATGTGTGCTGGCTTTTTAGAAACCATGTGTGTTTGTTCAGTGGTGTGTTTGTTTGTAATTGATGATAACATTTAATCTTGTGTATTTGTTTGAGCAGTTTGTCTGTTTGTTATTTTTTTCATTTTTGTGTAGTGGTGTGTCTGTAAGTAATGATATGAAATTCACTTTGGCTAGGTAGCTCAGCTGGTAGAGCACTGGTGTTAATGCCAGAGGTCACAGGTTCAAATCCTGTCCTAGTCTTTCACTAGTCATATCAGTTATGTTGTATCTGTGACATGTAATATGATAGAAAATACAGTGGGCTAACTTATCCTCTTGTTAAAAACACACTATATTTTTGAAAGTATATTTACACTCAAAGCTAATTTACCTACATAGTTTTTCAGCTCACAAAAGACATGAGAAGCTGTTCATCAGCACCAAAGGTTGTTACTATGTTAAAGAGGGATATTAAAAACTAATAAAGTCAAAAATTTACTCAAGAGCCATTATATGTCACATTAAATGTATACCCCCCTCGTCAATTTTTTTTCCATATTACTCTGTGCGTACACCCCTGTTAACTTAAACCAATATATTTTAACATAACAAACAAGGTTAAGCTATATAAAAAGTCTCATTGAATAATTTCAACCAAATTTAATGATCCATAAAAGGTAATCTGAAATAGCTGTCTTAATCTACTTTTTAATCACTTTCAAAAATTACATGACAGATGTACTATCTCTTGTAACACAAGACAGATGTTTTGTAACACAAGACAGATGTTTTGTAACACATGACAGATATACTATCTCTTGTAACACAAGACAGATGTACTATCTCATGTAACACAAGGCAGATGTACTATCTCTTGTAACACAAGACAAATGTTTTATAACACAAGACAGATGTACTATCTCTTGTAACACAAGACAGATGTACTATCTCTTGTAACACAAGACAGATGTTTTGTAACACAAGACAGATGTACTATCTCTTGTAACACAAGACAGATGTTTTGTAACACAAGACAGATGTACTATCTCTTGTAACACAAGACAGATGTTTTGTAACACAAGACAGATGTACTATCTCTTGTAACACAAGACAAATGTACTATCTCTTGTAACACAAGACAGATGTTTTATAACACAAGACAGATGTACTATCTCTTGTAACACAAGACAGATGTACTATCTCTTGCTCAGGTTCAGCGGTGAACAGTTTGTCCACTCCCGCCTTCACTGAACAAGTAGCTGACAGCCCACTGTGGGACCCTGTCATCAGAGAGAAAGTTAAAGCAACAAAGATGGCAGAACATCAGCTCAATGAGATGAGAAGCAAACACTTGATACCAGGTACTGGTTTATACATTTACAAGTTTGTGTTCCACATAAACAAGTTACCTGATCCACATAAATGGGGCACATGTTCTACATAAACAAGGTACATATTCTATGTAAACAAGGTACTTGTTCGACATGATCAATGATACAAGGTACGTGTTCCACATAAAGAAAGTTACATGTTCTTTCTATACCATTTCTTCAAAATGACTCACATTTTCTGTTGTTACTCATTCATTCATATTCTTTAAAGATATGCATTAAATTCTTAGAAAATAAAATTGTAACAAAAAGGAAACAATAATTATCATTTTGTAGTACCCAGTATTGGTTTTTTTTATATTTACATTTTATAAAGATTTAATTGTGAATAATGAAATATGATTTTCACTGTTAATTGCATCAATCTTAATTGCATCATCTAATTTTAATCATGTATAAAAAATGTATCTGTTAAACAAGTTGATGCACCTCTTACTTTAGACTACACCTGTTTCAGGGACGCCATTGGACCTGGGTGAGAGAGAGTCCCTGATTCCTGTCATTTTGATGCACAGACCAGGATCCATCACAACTGGTGCCAGGGCTGGCTATGCTGGGGGCTGGGACCTACTCGTCCCCTCAGGCTGGGCTATGGCGTTCTGGGTAGCGCTGGTGTACAGAGGGGCCAGAACTGGGGGGCTCAGGGAGGCGCGGAGTGTGGCCCTACAAGCCAGAATGCTGGCGGAGCCTTACGACTTCCCTGACACACCATCTGGGCAAGAAGAACTGACAGGGGAGCTGCTAGCATTAGAATTAAAACACAATCGCAGGCCCCCAGCCAAGCGCCCTAACTACACGAAGCTTGGGATTACCTCCCCTTTTAGGTTTGAGTTTGGGAAACTTGTGAAAGAATGGCAGGAGAAATATGCAGTCTCACCTCAGAGAAACAATTATTTTGTGTTACGAGAGAGACGAATCACCAGGTTTCTCAACGATGCACTCACAGATACTCTAAACTTCTTCAGGCAGCTGAAGAAATCTGTGGGCAAAGATGCGAAAAATGTGAGAACTCTTTTGTCAAAGAAGTTTGGTGAAAGTTGTCTCCCTGTTTGTTCATCTGCCCTGGTTCCCGTCTATCTGATGATCCAGTGCCGCGGTGTCCCAGCCATCAATGGCCAGATATGTGTTCCATCTGAGGAAGATTTGACAGCACTGGCCAGAGACAAGACATACAGTGGGCCACTGGAACCCCAGCATAAAGATCCATTTCTGGCACAGAGAAGAGCAGAGAGGCTGCTGAGGTTAAAGCTAAGGAAAAAGAAAAGGAGGGGGAAGAAATCAGCTGGTGTTGTGGGTGTGGCAGGACTCACTGGTCAGGTATCAACTGGACCTGCCCAGGCTACATCAACTGGTCAGGCATCAACTGGACCTGCCCAGGCTACATCAACTGGTCAGGTATCAACTGGACCTGCCCAGGCTACATCAACTGGTCAGGTATCAACTGGACCTGCCCAGGCTACATCAACTGGTCAGGCATCAACTGGACCTGCCCTGGCTACATCAGCTGGACCTGGTCAGCTAATATCAGCTGGTCAGACACCAGTAATTGGACTAGCGCAGGCAACATCAACAGATCGGGTTACAGGATCCGGACCTGAGGTCACTCAAGCAGATGTCAGGCTGTTGAGTCACACCTCTCGTCCAGTTATGGGCTTCATCACTGGAGGTGACTTTCACCTTGGCATAGGTCAAGGTTCAGGGCTGGGCTTCTGCTCTGTGTTGGCTGTGTTAGATCTCCTGGAGAAACAACAGGGGAGGCGGCACTGCACAGTGCTGGTGCGCAACCCAACATCCTTGCAGTATAGGTTTGCTGCCATGTCTCTTGTCATGTGACCAGTGGTGTTGTCATGTGACCAGTGGTGATGTCTTGTCATGTACCAGTGGTGTCTTGTCATGTGACCAGTCGTGGTGTCTTGTCATTGACCACTGGTGATGTCATGTGACCAGTGGTGATGTCATATCATGTGACCAGTGGTGATGTCATGTGACCAGTGGTGATGTCTTGTCATGTGACCAGTGGTCATTTCATGTGACCAGTGATTATGTCATGTGACCAGTGATGATGTCTTGTCATGTGACCAGTGATGATGTCTTGTCATGTGTCCAGTGATGATGTCTTGTGACCAGTGGTCATGTCATGTGACCAGTGGTGATGTCTTGTCATTGACCAGTTGTTCTTGTCATGGGACCAGTGGTGATGTCATGTGACCAGTAGTGGTGACATGTCCATGTACTGCCTATATTTATATTTTCTCTTTTTCTTATGCAACCAATGTTGATTATTAAAGTTGATAATTTTTTAAATAATTTGCATGTCTTATTTTTATTGAAACATTGAAGATGACATTATTAACACTTATGTTGCAGGAAAAATGTTACAAACAAACAAATCTCATCACAATGTACAAATTTTATTTTCTTGAGGACACTTGGAAACTGACATAGTTGCTCGATTAACCTACTAAAAGGTCTCATGTATGCTTTCCTCTAAAATATTGTCATGGGAAGGAGTGGTCTAGCAATAGGGAGCTAGACTGCTAACCCGAAAGTCTCCAGTTCAAATCCAGATTCAAGTCAGTAGAACGTCCCTGAGTTGCCAACTAATTCGCATTAGGAATAGTAAAGGCGGCTGGGCATAGTGCTGACCACATTATCTCTTAATCATATGCCAAGGTCACAGAAACAGGAGAATCAATTTCTTGCCCCATAGACCATCAGGTTTGGAAAGGGAACTACTTACTTTCCCAATGAACCAACTCAGCTAGATATTCAATAGTTCACTGTGTTGTGAGCAAGCAAACATCTGCTCAAACAAGTTGTTCAGTTCAGGACAGTGGTGTGCTCAATATCTGGTCAACATGTCTCCTGGCTTGGCCCACACACTCTCGCCTATTTCTAATGATCCTAACTCACAAATATATTAACTTTTAAATTTTTATTTTAATATGTACAAATACATACACACACTTAACCCCCCCCCCCCCCCATTTTAAATAAATACACGAGAGAGTCTGTGTTTCTACCATACACAACACAATCTACAGCTGTTAAAAATACAACCAGGAAGTAATTTACCCCTTAATTAATTGCTTGTTAAATACAGAGACTGGGCGTGACCTGTGATGTCTCACGAGGTTTACATGAATCACTCTATAAGTACCGGGCGTCTGTGCAAGTCTGGCTAAACCCAGATTAGTTAATCCCTAACCTTAATCTAGATTAAAAAAGAAAGAAAATCAACTAATCATAACTTTTATTAAATGAACTACACACAAATAAACCGGGAGTGATCTCCCCTAAACTTTCTCGAATATTCTAATATAACACTACGGGGGATGGCAACTCGGGACATAGACAATATTTTTAATCCATTTTTAATTACTTAAACTTTTTATAATAGAATAGAATCTCGTAAAAAAAAAAGAATTGCACACCAAGTTAGCGCCAAATAAATTTTGTGCATAATAGTGCGGGATATTATTAGTGCTTTATAAATTCACATGCGTTTTTTTTTTTTTGAGAAATCGGAACTAGCGTAAATTACTACTTCCGGTCGACGGAAATTACTCAAAATTTGATAGAAGGCAGAGAATTAGAACTTTTACTTACATGTGAAATTTTACTTCCGGTTATCGAAAATCGCTCAAAAGTTGATACGGATCTACGATTTTGATATAATACTAATAAATGAAATTTCATCAACCTAGCTGTACTCAAGTTATCGTGTTTACACACAGACACATATACACACATACATACGGACAAGATAGCAAAACAATGTTTTTCCGACTCAGGATTACAAGATTTTATCTATACTTCGTATATACGAGAAAGTAAAAATGGAACCATTCTAAATCAAAACCTCGAACTAACAAAATCAAACACCCAGCCAGGTACAATCGTAACGTTACACGTGGCCTGCGGCCAAATGCCCACAGTGAATCTGATTCGCCGAGATCTACATTCTTTTCGTTGATTGGAAAATAAAAATAACGAGAATACTGAGGACTTTTATACTCAATGGACCGGATGCCGGCCTACAAAACTTACGCACGCACACACAAACACAATAACGATACGGCTAATTAAATTAAAACACAATCACTCACCCGCTCACTTTAATTATGCCTTAGGGAGAAGATGCGCAGAGACATCCATGGGCAAAGGATCAAATTTCCGCACCCTGCACAAAGAGAGAAAATGTTTATAGAATTGGAAATAGAATAGGCTGTGTGGCAAGTTCAGCGCACGACTTAAAATTTTTGTACGAGTATAACTGTTTTCATTACATACACCAGGTAAGTAAAAAAAAAGAAGATACAAGAAAAACGGAAACAAAAGACGCGTATTAATTACACGGCCTATCCTATAGCCCGTTGTCTGTGTAGTAAACTAAAAGTACGGATGTCGCAAATATTCTGTCTTCACTACATGCGAAACAATGTGGTGCATACATTATAAAGGGTACTCTTGTTTAATCTTAATCTTATTGTCTAATTGAAAGGGTGGAGGGGTGGGGGGGGGGGGGTGGGGGTGATGACATAAATTTTTAAATACCCTTTCCATTTGTGGTGTGTCGTAAGGTTTGGATTCATAAGAAAGGTGAGTTGTAGGCTATAAATATGTTTCTGTTAAAAATGATGATGTCCATCACACTTTTTAATCACCTCTTTTGCGCAAGGTATTGATGTAGGGAATCTTTTGGTGGTCGGCAGAGTCTCTCACACCCCCCCCCCCCCCCCCGAAAATTTCGAGTGCCCCAGATCTGATAGTGTAGACTACTCACTCCTAATGCACCGGTATCATTCGTTCAACTCTCATGTGGGGTATGAGAGGATAGATGATATCAAATTATTATCCATATCCTTTTTTCTGTTGTGTTCGATAATAAAAATAATCTTACATAATAAATACGAATGGTCGACATTTAACATAAATCTTATACAATATTTCTCTTCTATGAGTCACGCCTTGTTCAACAATTTTGTCCACAGAAAGCGAGTTTTGTTATTCACCAACTAGTTAACCACTTAAATCATGGCGATAGTGCTTTACGATTGCCTTCCTTGATGTGAAGGCATGGGGCAAGGGAGGAAACCCCAGAACTCAAAACATGTCACCTTCTAGTGAGTAGTGAGGTACGTTTAGTGCGATGTTGATAGTCCATTCAACGTTTTAAAACTTAGTGAAGTTTAGTGGACACTTACGTCAACAGAAGGTTCTAGAGGACGGACGCGACTACAAAAGTCCTGGAGAACCTGAGTGGTCCGTTACGACAATATGCATGTGTTCTGGTCAGTCATTGTCTGCTCGTGTGTGACTTTTGCCTACACACAAGGTAGGTCATAGTTTTCTTAGAAATTACATTGTTTTGTTATGTTTTGATATAGCTCATTCCCACTAGTCCGTATTCACTATGGCGCTTTATATCATCACAAATGTTTAAGGCCAAAAACATAGAGGAATTTTTTTTTATTGTTACCTAAAATTTACCACGATACCATATCTGATTTTGTTCTAATCCTAGGATGGTCTAATTATATTCTGATAATAAAACCGCGTTGGGCGCAAAGAATCGATGTCTCTAATGTATTTATCTCAACTCCGAGAAGCGAAATCTACAAATGTACACCCAGACTTTGTTTGCGTTTCAAGATATGCTAACTAGTCGTTTTTCTATAGATAGCAAACGTCCCTCTAACATGTCGTGTCTCTACAGATAGCAAATGTCCCTCTAACTTGTCGTGTCTCTACAGATAGCAAATGTTCATCTAACTTGTCGTGTCTCTACAGATAGCAAATGTCCCCCTAACTTGTCTCTACAGATAACAAATGCCCATCTAACTTGTTGTGTCTCTACAGATAGCAGTCAGGGGCGGAACTACCATACCGCCAGACCCCGCAATGCGGGGGGGGCCCAGGACGTTTAGGAGCCCAGTTCCGACCAAAAAACAATAAAAATTTTTTTTCAAAAATTATGTTTTTCATGCATCTTGAAAGTGGTTTTGTAAAAAAAAAAAAAAAAAAAACAGGTCTACTATAGCAGAGATTGTTGCGTAGAAAAATATTTTAAAATCTACAAGAGCTATAGTTTGAAAGGTAGGTAAACATTCACACTACTTCCATGACTTACTGCCCTTCTTTAAAATAGGGATACCCACAAAGCTTATTTGAATAGTTTTGTACTATGTATACTAAAAAGCAATTGATTCTCTGAATTGTTACTTAAATCAGAAGTACTATACAATAGTATAGCCATAAAAATCAATGTTTTCAAAATTGATATTATAAAAGCCAAAAATGAAAAAAATAAACATAACGCGAGAAACCATTCACGAATAAAGCTAACGTCTTTATATATTTTTGACCAGCATGATTATGTTATATTTAAAGCTCAGGATTAGTTTGGACAAAATTTTTTCTCGTTTGTTCTCTGAGAATGGTTATATATTGCAATGAAGTAGCCAGGGGTCGGCAACCTGCGGCTCGCGAGCCGCATGCGGCTCTTTTGATATCAAGATGCGGCTCTCCAGCTCCTTGAACAAATACTAATAATCTTAATAAAAAAATAAAATATTTTAAATACAAAAAAATGTTAGTGGCTCTTTAAAACCAGGGAAATATTGAAAATTGTAACTTTTGGCTCTTCCGCTTCAAAAGGTTGCCGACCCCTGAAGTAGACTAAATTACTCAGTTAGGGCCCCCCTATATATATATATATATATATATATATATATATATATATATATATATATATATATATATATATATATATATATATATATATATATATATATATATATATATATATGTATTTAGGGCCCCCCCCCTATATATATATATATATATATATATATATATATATATATATATATATATATATATATATATATATATATATATATATATATAGGGGGGGCCCTAGTTTTTTCTTTGCGGGGGAGCCTTTAATTTCTAGTTCCGCCACTGATAGCAGTGAATGCCCAGAAAACTACGTAAAGATACACCGAAGTTGCTACAAGTTTGTCACAGATGGCGACAGTCACCCGATGGTTGTGATGGTAACAAACTGGTGCTGGTACAGAGCGTGGCTGAGATGGTAATGCTGTTAAATTATTCTGATTTATTTTATTTCATACTGAGACTAAGCTTCAGTTGTGTGATACGTTTGTCTACACAGCGCAGCTTATAAATACTACGAGTTCAACATCGTATTTAATTAGAAAAAAATTGTCCTACGAACAATTAGTTTAAAATAATTCTATATATCTACATGTAATTAATTTTGATTGATATCGCAGTTCAGCCATGTATTTAGTCTTTAATGATATCACAGTTTGGGCATGTATTTTTTTTTTTAGATAATATCACAGTTTGGTCATATATATATTTTTAGATGATATCACAGATTGGTCAAATATATATATATATATATATATATATATATATATATATATATATATATATATATATATATATATATATATATATATATATATATATATATATATATATATATATATATATATATATATATAGATGATATCACAGTTTGGTCATATATTTTTTTAGATGATATCACAGTTTGGTCATCCATTTATTGATTTTTTAGATGATATCACAGTTTGGTCATATATATATATATATATATATATATATATATATATATATATATATATATAATATCACAGTTTGGTCATATATATATATTTTAGATGATATCACATATTGGTCATATATATATATTTTAGATGATATCACATATTGGTCATATATATATATATTTTAGATGATATCACATATTGGTCATATATATTTTTTTAGATGATATCACAGATTGGTCATATATATATATTTTTAGATGATATCACAGTTTGGTCATATATTTATTTTTAGCGCAATTTCCATTCTGGAGAACTGCGTTTATTAACCCGTCATTTCTGGATGTATGGATGTATCAATGAATGAATGGATGTGTGTCCGCAGCTTTAAGTCGTATCTCCTCCTCAACGAAGTAATATCGAGGACTAGTTCCAAAAGCAATTATGTTAAGCAAGTTACGATGATGAACATAGGCCATAAAAAATTCCGGGTTTCTTTCATGGATTTCCCGGAAAAACCAAAAAAAACCTTTTAAAAATGCAGTTTTTGGCCCATATCTCGGCAACCAGACCACTTGGCGACTTGAAACTTCTACCAATCGATTCCTGCTATAATTTAGAACAATATTGCCGAAGAAAGTTTTCAAAAATATCCTTTCATTCGGTCACAAAATTTTTTTGAATTAATTCAAATTTGGACCGAATTAGTAGGCATTTTTATCCAACCACATCACACGCGTCATCACGTTCAATAGTTGCGCCATCGCGTTCCCATGGCTGCGCCATCACGTTCAGTAGGCGCGCAATGGTTTTTAGTCATGTAACTCTATTGTAAATGAAACATGTAAAATAGTGAAAAAAAAATTAATAAAAAACGTTTTAATAACTAACCAATGGTTTTACTAACCCTATTCTTGATTTACGCTACGACAGAGCTATTTTTAGATAACATAAGAAATTGCGCAAAAATTGTCACTAGACTTTTTAATTACCTTGTTTTAGATGATATCACAGTTTGGTTACCCATTTATTACTTTCTCGTCTATACGTAGTATAGAGAAAGTATTGTAATCGTGCAAAAAAAAAATCGAGATTTTTACAAATCTCGACGTTTTACACCTCACTGATACGGAAAAACATAATTTTGCAATCTTGTCCGTATGTCTGTGTGTCTGTGTGTGTGTGTGTGTGTCTGTGTGTGTGTGTGTAAACACGATTACTTGAGTACCGTTACAGCTAGGTTGATAAAATTTCATATATAAGTATTTTATCAAAATCGTAGATCCGTATCAACTTTTGAGCGATTTCCGATAACCGGAAGTGGTACTTTTTCTACTTTGAATTTTTCAAAAGCCTATAACTTGAGTACTATTTCAGATAGATAAATGAAATTTCACATGTAAGTAAAAGATCTAATTCTCTACCTTCTGTTAAATTTTGAGTAATTTCCGTTGACGGGAAGTACTAATTTACGCTATTTCCGATTTCTCAAAAACGCATCTAAATTTATAAAGTACTAATAATATTGCGCACCATTATGAACATCTCTATTCGGCGTTCGCTTGGTGTGCAATACTTTTTTCTATGAGATTCTATTTTATTTTAAAAAGTTTATGTATTTAAAATGGATTAAAAATCATAACTATATCCCGAGTTCTCATCCCCTGTTGTTTTATATAAGAATATTCTAGAAAGTTTAGGGGAGATCACTTCCGGTTTATTTTTTAGATGATATCACAATCTGGTCATCCATGTATTTATTTTTTAAATGATATCACAGTTTGGTCATATATATGTATTTTTAGATGATGTCACAGTTTGGTCATATATATGTATTTTTAGATGATGTCACATTTTGACCCCCTAAATAGTCTATACCCATACTCCCCTTACATTGCGGAGTTCAGAGTATCTTCCAGGCATCTCTTCGGATGGGTGGGGGGGGGGGGACGAAGCCCCCCCCCCCCCGGAGAAAAAAGTCTGGAAGAAACACTAGCGGAGTTTGAAGGTGTTGTTGTAGTTCTACCACTAGTAGCCCCTCAATGCTCATAACGCATCTAGTGGGATGGCTTGCTCTAGAACAGTGGCTCTTAATCTAGGTTCAATCGAATCCCAGGGGTTCAGTGAGACAGTCTCAATGATTTGGCTAAGGTCAAGACACATCAAACTCATGATTGGCGATCGAATTATTGACCTTTGACGTCACGAGACACGTATGTCACGAATCGTGTCAGCGTCACCTATACAGGCGCGCGTTGATTGGGCATTTATGTGCTGTGGCAAGCATATTTTTAGCGCAATTTCCATTCTGGAGAATTGCGTTTATTAACTCGTCTTTTCTGGGAATGAATGGATGAATGGATGGATGGATGTGTGTCCGCAGCTTTAAGTCGTATCTCCTCAACGAAGCAATATCGAGGACTAGTTCCAAAGCAATTATGTTAAGCAAGTTACGAGGATGAACATAGGCCATAAAAATTTCGGGTTTCTTTTATCGATTTCCCGGAAAAGCCAAAAAAAACTTTTAAAAATGTAGTTTTTGGCCCATAACTCGGCAACCAGACCACTTAGCGACTTGAAACATGTACCAATCGATTTCTGCCATAATTTAGAACAATATTGCCGAAGAAAGTTTTCAAAAATATCCTTTCGTTTGGTCACAAAATTTTATTTGAATTAATTAAAATTTGGACCGAATTAGTAGGCATTTTATGAAACCACACCACACGCGTCATCACGTTCAATAGCTGCGCCATCACGTTCAATGGCTGCGACGTCACGTTCGGTAGCTGGGCGCGCAATAGTTTTTGGTCATGTTACTCTATTGTAAATAAAACATGTAAAATAGTGAAAAAAATTAATAAAAAACGTTTTAATAACTAACCAATGGTTTTACTAACCCTGCTCTTGATTTACGCTACGACAGAGCTATTTTTAGATAACACAAGGAAATTGCGCTAAAATTGTCACAAGACTTTTTTTAATTACTTGTTTTCTATATCGCGGCCCAGTAGTTGACTTGTGACTCTCGTGATGGTAGGTTGTGTAATTTTTAAAAAATATTTTAATCCTTTCACACTAACTATATTAAGTGAAAAAGAAAAGTGGGTGTAGGAATATGTACAGTATGGATCCCCCAAAAAAGGAACTTTGGGAGAGTCGCCGTCCTAACTGCATGCTTTGCAATGCCAAGTGGAACAATTCTAGTCTAGCACCAGCAAAACTAAGAGAACATTTCCTTAAATTAAGCTGCAGGGAGATGGGAAATACAAGAACATGTCAGTCGCTGATTCAAGGTGAAGCCACACATTTATGAACTGGTTTCTGAAAGTCAACAGCAGAAGTCACAGTGATTTGCAGGAAATATTCATTGAATATTTTTGTGTGAAAATCATATTTTAATGGTTTTGTTATTTGAACACTGATGTGTTGCACGGTTAATTTTGTTAACCGGTAAAATTTGTAGCTATGTTTTGAAAATTGAAAAAAAAATTGTATTTGCTCTATTGATTTAAGAAGAGTTTGGTAAATGCACATATGAAGCTGGTGGGGGTTCGGTACCTCCAAAAAGGTTAAGAACTACCAGAGGCGTAGCCAGGATCGTCTCATGGGGGGGGGGAGGTTCAAATTTTTTCCAGCATTATGTATATATATATATATATATATATATATATATATATATATATATATATATACATATATATATATATATATATATATATATATATATATATATATATATATATATATATATATATATATAGGGCTATATATATATATATAGGCCCTATATATATATATATATATATAGGCCCTATATATATATATATATAGGCCCTATATATATATATATATATATATATATATATATATATATATATATATATATATATATATATATATATATATATATATATATATATATATATATATAGGCCCTATATATATATATATATATATATATATATATATATATATATATATATATATATATATATATATATGGCCTATATATATATATATATATATAGGCCATATATATATATATATATATATATATATATATATATATATATATATATATATATATATATATATATATATATATATATATGCTGTATGTCATTGCTTCGCTATGATGTAAAATAAATTGAAAGTAGTACTCTGAAGAAATAAGAAAAAACACACAAAGTAGGCCGACAAAACAAAACCATTTATCACTCTAAACAAAAAAACAAACAAAATATACACACAATACAACTAAAAACAATGAACGCAACACAATCTGTTTTGTAATCCTTGTAATAATTATCATTAAAAAAGTTTTTAAAAACCCACGTTTTCTGATTGAACTAAAAAGTAGAAAATAAATGCTATACATCACAATAATGCAAGCGATCACTCTACTATGAGCGATGAAAAACGTGGTATTATGACAGTAAAAACTTTTTTACAGAGGGGTCCATGGGGGGGGGGGGGGTGTTCCCTGCCTACGCCAATGAGAACCACTGCTCTAAAAACTTCTAGATCACATTACCATGCGGTATTTTAAGGAAATTTTCTGCTGACTAGCAGGTCGCACGTTTTATAATGCCTAATGCAAAGATTGGACAAAGGTGTTTGAGTTGGGGGGAGGGGGGTGGAAAAGGGGTTTGGGTTGAGGCAGTAATTTATGATACTTGAGGGGAGTGGAAGGGTGTGGGCGTTGCGGGATGTTTTCGTGAGTGGAAATATTTTTAAAGATAACTTCGTACAACAATCTCGCATTTAGAGTTTTTTTTAGTATATTATCTTAGTTTAGAGATCTTTTTATCGGTTAACTGTACTCTGTGGACTTTGACAGTAATAATTATAACTTGACCTCCGTCACCCCCAGCAAAAACTAGAAGAGTACATGAACAAGAACAAATTTGCTGCCGGCAAATATTGGGTCGGTATAAGGAAAGAAACAACCAAGGGAGACAAACCAAAATGGTTGGACAACTCGGATGTTGCTCAGTAAGTAGGTCTATGGTAAACCACATTACAAACATTTCAAACATCATGGCGAACATACATTTGTTATACAAATTCTTCAATGCCATGTTAGATCCTCGACTTGGATCCGGTGATGTAGACCTACATTAGTACACATGCTCAACCAGAATAGTTGAGCATAGATAGGTGATCTGATTATTTATAAGTTTTTTCTCTACTGACCAATAAAATATCATCTCTACCAAATCCAACAAAATATAATTTCTCCACAGACCAATAACGAAACCCAACAGAAGAAGATACGACTGCAGCGCAATAAATTTACAACCCAACCAGTTTCAACTTGTTCTACACGACTGTGACGACACACTGCCCTATATCTGTGAATACACACAAAGTAAGGACTTGACGTCTGCTGGTGAAGTCTGATTTTGATGTATGCTTGTGAACTGTTGCAGTCATATACAACTAATGTAGAGCCGTATTTAAAAGCTAGAATATAACATACTAAATTCATGTTTCTCATATGAATTGTTTGCCACTTAATGTAAACTTGGCCCTTATAGCACATTAATGATTTATTTCATGTTTTCATTATATTGTCAAAAATGTTTAGAATGATTCTAAAAAAGACTGATGATATTCTCTAAGACATGACTGATGATATTCTCTAAGACATGACTGATGATATTCTCTAAGACATGACTGATGATATTCTCTAAGACATGACTGATGCTATCACTATATTTCAGTTACTGCCCGCCCCCAAACCGCCACTACAACTCCTGACATGTAGATAGCAGACAGCAGCGTGCTACCCACAGGAACTATCCGCCTCGACCCATCCATCCCAAAATCTGCCACCCCTGGAAACGCCAATGACACATCAGCAACACAAGAAACAACTAAACCAACAGTCTACGTCCATCCACCAACAGAAAAGACCCCTACAGTCAACACACACAAAGCTCCAGAAGTTTCTCGCAAGGAGAAAGTTCCAGAAGTTTCAAGTCAGTCCAGCTTTAGCCCAAGCAAAGTAAGGTGAGAACTACAACATGTTCTATCTGTGTGGGTGTGGCTTACATCATGTCCCATCTGTGTGGGTGTGGCTTACATAATCTCCTATCTATTTGGGTGTGGCTTACATCATCTCCTATCTATGTGGGTGTGGCTTACATCATCTCCTATCTATGTGGGTGTGGCTTACATCATCTCCTATCTATGTGGGTGTGGTTTACATCATCTCCTATCTATGTGGGTGTGGCTTACATCATCTCATATCTATGTGGGTGTGGCTTACATCATCTCATATCTATGTGGGTGTGGCTTACATCATCTCATATCTATGTGGGTGTGGCTTACATCATCTCCTATCTATGTGGGTGTGGCTTACATCATCTCCTATCTGTGTGGGTGTAGCTTAAATCATCTCCTGTCTGTGTGTGTGACTTACATCATGTCCCATCTGACTAACATCATGTCCCATCTGTGTGGTTGAAATATCTGAGCTCTACCTAAAGCAAAGTTTTCAAGTTTTCTTTTTCTTTTCTGATGCACAACTCAGAAACCATCACCAAAAGCAACTACCAGTAGAACAACTACTACCACAACAACAACAACAGGAACTACCACATCCAGGAAGACAACCACTACACCAACCACCACACCAACCACCACACCAACCACCACACCAACCACCACACCAACCCAACCAACCAAGAGAACAACCACCACACCTGCCAGCACTACCACCACCAGCTCTGTAGAAACCAAATTAAAAGATTATAAAAACTGCTACATCCCAAGTTTTGGCTCCAATTTAATGGAACAATTAATCACTGCTGAAACTTTTTACACCAACCCACGTGTGTGTCCCAACACAACCATTGGCTCAGTCAACTGGCCATCTACACTTCCTGGTCAAACAGCTCAAGTCCGCTGTAAAAACAGAAAAGGTTTGTGCCACTGGTTTTATGTTACAAAACTAATGCTCATAATGTGTTTGTCTTTTATGTTTGTGGTACCAAATACATTAAATTCCGCTGTAAAAACAGAAAAGGTTGGTGCTACTGGTTTTATGCTACAAAACTAATTCTTATTATGTATTTGTCTCTTGTGTTTGCGCAAGCAAATACATACAAATATATAAATATTATATTTTTTTCTTGCTCCAATCCCAGGTACAGCGACGTGGGCCTGTAGCCAACAGGAGACAAAAGTCTGTTGGATTGGTCAGCCTGATGTTTCTGGGTGTGTGGATGAGAAGCTGCAGAAAATATTGAACCTGGTGAGTCACCTGTTAGTTGTTGCAGCAGCTTTGGTGTGGTGTCATGAACCTGGTAAGTGGATGAAGCTGTACTTTTGGTATAATACAATAAGGTCAATGTTAATCTTAGAATATTGCTAACATCTTGCCTGAGTTTCAACTTAGACTTAGAGCCCTGTTATCAACATGCTTGATTGAGGTTCATCCTCAGGGGTTTAGGTTATCATCATGCTTGCTGTGAAGGCAAAAAAAAAACATAATTTCTTCCATAAATTTTTGTACCAGAAGTGCAGCCTATATCAGAAAAATAAATCACCCACTTGCTTAAAAAACAAATTTTCAATCTAAAAATGCAAACCTTGCTGTGATTGCTTTAATAAGAATGTATTTATTTATAATAATTTAGCTTCCTAGTATAAAAAAAAATGTAGTCATTATTTGTAAAGCTATTATGTAAATTATTTTAATATACCTACACTTAAAATTTAAAAAAAACTTAACTTAAAAAATCAAATTCTTCTTAGTTTTTGAAAATCTTATTAGTAACAGTCTGCTTTGGCCCATTCAATAATTACACTTGGCAGACTCTTCTGCTTCTTTACTGTCTGCTTTTTAAAAAATCAGCAATTCTCCTAATAGGCTAGTCTAATAGAAACACCAGCAACAAATGAAACAAATCCAACAGAGCCGCCACCAAGCGGCGAAGAAGTGGTAGAGATGACATCACAGATCAAAGAAGTGACGACTGCGAAAGAAACAACAATGGAGGATGTGTTGGTCATGTCTAGAGTTCTAACGTTGGTCACCAAGAAAAAAGACAACGCTCCTCCCAAAGATATCCAGGAGATTAAGGATATTATTGATGTGAGTACTCACTAATACTGAAAAACGTTGCTCGTGAGTTTACAAAATTTCTCCGGATTTGATTATTAAGGTTGACAGGTATTACTTCCCTTGTGTGACGACTGAAGAAAGTTGTGCAAGTTTGGAGTTATCCCTGCTTGATTAGGTGAAACAGATACCAGATCTTTTCCTTACAAAACTATTAGGTCAACATTACTTAGTAAAAATGCTTGTCTACCTCATCAAGTTTATGAAAACTTTGAGTCTTATAACAATTTATGCATGATTGTAATTCTCACTGTTAAAATATGAAACACAGCTATATTATGTAAAACTTTGTTAGACCCTTACATATGGGTTCAGTTATATAATCTATTCATCATTACATCCAACCCAGGATTTTTGTCTAAGAATAATCTAACTTGCCACTTGTTTTATGTTGCTTCCTCCCAAATGTCATCTACGTCTTCTCTTCCACCCTCTTTCAGAATGTCATCTATTTCACTTCCACCCTCTTTCAGAATGTCATCTATTTCTCTTCCACCCTCTTTCAGAATGTCATCTATTTCACTTCCACCCTCTTTCAGAATGTCATCTATTTCACTTCCACCCTCTTTCAGAATGTCATCTATTTCACTTCCACCCTCTTTCAGAATGTCATCTATTTCACTTCCACCTTCTTTCAGAATGTCATCTATTTCTCTTCCACCCTCTTTCAGAATGTCATCTATTTCACTTCCACCCTCTTTCAGAATGTCATCTATTTCACTTCCACCCTCTTTCAGAATGTCATCTATTTCACTTCCACCCTCTTTCAGAATGTCATCTATTTCACTTCCACCCTCTTTCAGAATGTCATCTATTTCACTTCCACCCCCTTTCAGAATGTCATCTATGTCTTCACTTCCACCCCCTTTCAGAATGTCATCTATTTCACTTCCACCCTCTTTCAGAATGTCATCTATTTCACTTCCACCCCCTTTCAGAATGTCATCTATTTCACTTCCACCCTCTTTCAGAATGTCATCTATTTCACTTCCACCCCCTTTCAGAATGTCATTTAAATCTTCACTTCCACCTTTTCAGAATGTCATCGCAGCAGGAAGTAATCTCGTCTCCACCAACAAATCAGCCATGTGGGAGGAAATGACGCAGGTAGATAAGGTCAACTCGGCATCAACACTTCTGGTTGCCATGGAGACAGCGACGTTAGCCATGGCAGAGGAAATTAAGCAACCGATTGTGATAACTCAACAAGATGAGAATATCGGTGAGTGTGAGCTGGGCTGTCTGGATGTTGATTGGACAGTTGCAAGTAAGAGAGTTTAAACAAACCTTAAGTATTATATTCCAACATTACAACATCCATAATTTAATATATTTAATTTAATTTCTGCTGAGAGTCTAAACAAATCTTAAGTACTCTGTGGCGAAATTCCCAATTTTTTGCCAGATCTAAAACTACACGTGATCAGTGAAGACACGTTCACCAAGGAAAACAAGACAGAACTGGTCTACACAACTGACCAATCAGAGACAACGTTCACCATTCCTAAAGAAACTTTGTTCAGCTTTAACAAAGGTCGGATAGTTTTCTTTTTCAATTTACTTTTCAATTAACTTACTAAAATACAATCACCATTAAGTATGTGCTCTATGCATATATATATATATATATATATATATATATATATATATATATATATATATATATATATATATATATATATATATATATATATATCTTTGACCATACAGAAGGTGAACTGGCCAAGGTTGTTTTTATGACTCATTACTCCATGGCTGACATCCTGGGGGTCCAAGAGAAACCAAAGACAAAAACTGACCCGGAAGTGAACGTTGAGGAGAAATCCTCCAAGAAGAAAGCGAGAATGGAAGAGGTCTGATATCAGACTTCACATAGCTAGCTACATACTCAGCGCCTCACTAGGGGCAGATGGACATGCGCACAAGCTTCCAAAACCTGTGACCTTCAGGATGAAACATGTCACTGTATGGCTATACAAATTTTTTTAACATAAACTTATTTAAGTAAATAAATTATAAATTAGTAAATTATAAATTAATTTACTTAAAGACGTTGTTTTGAAGATGCAGATAAAAGGAGACCTGTCCAGAATATCCCAACAGGATACAAGGCACGTGTTTGTTACCTGAAAACTTTTATTACAAGTGGGACGAGACTAGATAGAATATTGAGATAAATGGCCGCGGTTTCAACAAGTTTCTGTCAGGCTGCTGTTTATCAGCAAGACAGAAGTCTTCTGTTGGCCTCTAGGATGCCATGTTGGAACTATTCAAAGCTGGGCTTGGGGAAAAAAATTGGATGGCACTTTTTTGGAGCCAAACTTTTTAACAATTCATTTTTATAAAAAATGGTTGAAATAAAACATTTCACTATCCCATCTCTCCACAGCCAGTAGTTCCTACCCTTAGAACTGTCTGCTCTTTTTGGAAGATATCTGATGGGTAAGTTGTTGTCTTTCTGTAAAACATTTTATTTTGAAATTGCTACAGGTTAGTTCCTTGCTAAGAAATAATTGTATTTTAGGTCATCAAGAGGCTACTGGTCCCAAGATGGCTGTAGGGTAGCATCAACCAACGCCACATACACCACCTGTGAATGTGATCACTTGACCAACTTCGCCATCCTGCTGGAAAACCAGGCAGTCAAAGTAAAAAAAAAATTATTCATGCTCTTTTTTGTTTCATCTTTTTTTTTCTTTCTGGCTTTCTTTTTTTTACTATAGTAAAATAGTATTTAAGATCAAAGACTGTAATGGTAGTGTTGTTTTACTTGAACTATCACTTGTGAACAAATGAGATATTCAACATATAATCTTCTTTTTTGAATATGATATGATATTTTGGAAATTCATTGCAATGTTATTATTGAATTTCCCTAAATGTTAAATTTAATATTAAATAATTTTAAAAAGTTTGCTGAATTATATAAATAAAAAAAAAAAAAAAAAAAAAAAAAAAATATATATATATATATATATATATATATATATATATATATATATATATATATATATATATATATATATATATATATATATATAAAATCACTCTATTGCTAAACAAAACATTCTTGATAGAACTCTATCAACTCTGAGCAGAACCACTCTGGTGACATGTTAAAGCCAATCATAACCACACCAGCACGTAAGCCAATGCTTCTTAAAATTACTATTGCATCAAATCTGAATGTTCTTATCAAAACAAGCTTTAATTACTCTAACTACAAAATAATATATTTTTGTTATTAAACTTTGACACTTTGTTCAACAAAAGCAACATTTATTTAAAAAAAAATTCTTCCCTTTAGCTGTTTGGTGTGAAACTGTTGAGGAGTCTGGCATTGTCTTTACTAAAACTAAGGCTGGTTCCACCTACAGGACTTCTTGTAAATATAACTACACAGGTAAATCAAAAGAACTACAAGTACTCTCAATGATGTAGCTTTCTTATATTTTCAAATGTATTTGAAAATATATCTAGTAAAACAAGAAGTCTTTGTTGTAATTAAAGAAAATGGGAATCAATTGCAGCAGAAGAATCAATCTTTAAAAAGTTTAACTCCAAGGATGTCTCTAATTTTTATTTTTATTTTGTTGATCTATTGTAAATATAAAAGTGATAGGCAAGGTATAAATATTTCAAGCATTATATACAAAATAGTTGCTGCTGATAACGGGTGTTCCATAAATGTTGTCATGCTTTTAAAATTTTTTAATTTAATTTGTCTCCCCCTCCACACCGTCATAGTCAGAAAAAGAAGAAAAAACCAGAACCCCCACCCCTCCTCAAATGACATCACATCTCAGCCTACAACCCTCTTCTTTCTAATGAGCTCTCTCGACATTGGGTGATCAATTTTATTTCAATTTACAAAAAAAGGATGTTTTAAAAACATAAAATAAGGCTACTTTTCTAACATTACTTGTTAAAATGGAAAAATGTGACATCCCACTTCCTGAATTTACCCCTCCACAAAAGTCCTCCCCCCTGTAGAAATGTGATGTCATGTATGAATTTCACAAGAGTTATCTAAGTTTATTATGTTAACAAAATGATCAGGGGAGGTTTCAAGAGCCTGCAATGCTGATGGGACATGGGGTCTATTTCACCTGAACAACTGCAGCCAACCATTTTTTGAAAATATTTTCCAGAAGGTTAAAATACTTATAAAGGTGAGCAGCCAGCATAATTTGAATTAGTCAGATTTGATGTAAAATTGGGAAAGTAATTCTTTTGGAGAATGAGTATTTGACACGTATTACTATTTTGTTGAAAATAGCATGATAATCCTAACCTTTTTTGTTACCCAGGATGATAATCCTAACTTGTTTGTTACCCCAGGATGATAATCCTAACCTGATTGTTACCCAGGATGATAATCCTAACCTGTTTGTTACCCCAGGATGATAATCCTAACCTGTTTGTTACCCCATGATGATAATCCTAACCTGTTTGTTACCCCAGGATGATAATCCTAAACTGTTTGTTACACAGGATGATAATCCTAACCTGTTTGTTACCCCAGGATGATAATCCTAACCTGTTTGTTACACAGGATGATAATCCTAACCTGTCTGTTATCTGAGGATGATAATCCTAACCTGTTTGTTACCCAGGATGATAATCCTAACCTGTTTGTTACCCCAGGATGATAATCCTAACCTGTTTGTTACCCCAGGATGATAATCCTAACCTGTTTGTTACCCCAGGATGATAATCCTAACCTGTTTGTTACCCCAGGATGATAATCCTAACTGTTTGTTCTCTCAGGATGATAATCCTAACTGTTTGTTACCCCATGATAGTCCTTACCTGTTTGTTACCCCAGGATGATAATCCTAACCTGTTTGTTACCCCATGATGATAATCCTAACCTGTTTGTTACCCCAGGATGATAATCCTAAACTGTTTGTTACACAGGATGATAATCCTAACCTGTTTGTTACCCCAGGATGATAATCCTAACCTGTTTGTTACACAGGATGATAATCCTAACCTGTCTGTTATCTGAGGATGATAATCCTAACCTGTTTGTTACACAGGATGATAATCCTAACCTGTTTGTTACCCCAGGATGATAATCCTAACCTGTTTGTTACCCCAGGATGATAATCCTAACCTATTTGTTACCCCAGGATGATAATCCTAACCTGTTTGTTACCCCAGGATGATAATCCTAACTGTTTGTTCTCTCAGGATGATAATCCTAACTGTTTGTTACCCCATGATAGTCCTTACCTGTTTGTTACCCCAGGATGATAATCCTAACCTGTTTGTTACCCCAGGATGATAATCCTAACCTGTTTGTTATCACAGGATGATAATCCTAACCTGTGTGTTATCTGAGGATGATAATCCTAAACTGTTTGTTACCCCAGGATGATAATCCTAACCTGTCTGTTACCCCAGGATGATAATCCTAACCTGTTTTTAACCCCAGGATGATAATCCTAACCTGTTTATTACCCCAGGATGATAATCCTAACCTTTTTGTGACCCCAAGATGATAATCCTAACCTGTTTGTTACACAGGATGATAACCCTAACCTGCTAGTTACCCCAGGATGATAATCTTAACCTGTTTGTTACCCCTGGCTCCTTAAAACTAATTGGCGTTATTGAGCTCATAGGATAACCCAGCGTGCCAATAGCATCCTGTAAACAATGATGCAGATTGCGTCATTCGCTAAAGTGACACAAATGAACAGGATTTTTTTCTTTAACACGTAAACATATTATTTGAAGCGTTTTAAACATCAGTGTGACTGATGCAATATGTTAGCGTTACTAATGGTCTATTATTAGATGCTCGATCTCAATTTCTGATTGGATTGTCTAAAAATAGATACTAATTGCATCATTTGCAAAGTGACTAAACTATTTGGATTTTTTTTACGGACAAAATGAAACATCGCAGTTAAATATCTAAACTTGGTTGATTTTTTTTATTTATTATTAAAATAAAACGTATTACATGGCCCTCAGTGGCCCATGTGAGCCTTTGAGGGCCGAAACTGAATTTTTTGTTTGAAGCCAGATCGCACCCTACCAGGGCGTCTGCGGACACGCCTGATTCAATTGAGTGAGTGTTTTTTGTAACGCCCCATCCTATCACACTGTCTATCACAATGTTTAGACCGAATGTAGTCGCCATAGCGTTCACGGGAAAGACCAGGGCGCCAAATCGCATCCTGCCGGGGGGCCGCCCATGAAATTTTTTACAGAACCCTTCCCCAGAGTATTCTAATTAACCCACCAAAGTTTAATGGCGATGGGATGCATGGTGTCAACCCAAAATCTACTTTTATTTTGATATACCGTATATAGAGAAAAAAACAAATTGCGCCCTGTCGGGGCGCCACCCCTTCGAATTTGAATTTTTTTTTACACAGAAACCTCCGCAGGAATATTCTCAACAACATCCCAAAGTTTCACGGCTATGTGATAAGAGGTGTAGCAATGCATAAAAGACAGACACACACACACACACACACACACAAAGACATACATTGCTATATATATATATATATATATATATATATATATATATATATATATATATATATATATATATATATATACTTGCGTACCCGTCCCCGAGCGTTGCCGCGGGAATAGAAGATAGTCCGACGAAATATATAAGAAGGGATTCATCCATGCGTTACCAATCCTATATTCTTAGACTCGTGACCTTGTTTTATAAAAGTTAGTTATTTAAATGTAAATAATGCCTGCGCTTGAATCATAAATATCGGGACACGGGTTTACCTACACTACCGTGTGAAAACCTTGTGTGTACATTAATCACTCACCGAAATAATGAGGTAGAACACACTTCGGTGACCACCCATGTGTCTGGGACGTAGAGGGGCGCTCTCAGGAGCCCCCCCCCCCCCCGATTACACCATCGCATAGGCGCAGCGTACGGCCTCTGGCTCCTTAAAACTAACAGGCGCCATCGTGCTCATAGGATAACCCAGAGTCCCAACTCGCATCCTGTAAACAATGATGCAGATTTCGTCATTTGCTGACGTGACACAAATGAACAGGATTTTTTTTCTTTAACACGTAAAAATTATTTGACGTGTTTTAAATATCAGTGTGACTGATGCTGATGCAATATGGTAGCGTTACTAATGGTCTATTATTAGATGCTCGATCTCAATTTCTGACTGGATCGTCTAATAATAGATGCTTATTGCATCATTCGCAAAGTGACGAAACTACAGTAGGCTCGTCATATTCAAAAAGTTATTTTTTCATCTTTCGCAAGGTGACGAAACTGTACAGAAGGATTTCCTCGCGTTACAAAGTTATTTTTAGAAGCCTGTTGTAGCTTTACCGCTGAATATAGTAGTACCCATTACTCGCTATGAAGGACGCTCGATTAACGGAAGCCAAGTGCCAACATAGTCGCTCTGAAACTTTGGGCGCCAAACCGT